TGGTTCTTTTACAGTTTCTACAAAGCAAATACCTAATTGGAGTGCTGATGCTGCTGACAGAACTAGCAATCTCTCAGATACAATGAGACTTGTTTCAGCTGATTTTCATCCCAGAAAGGCTTACTGTGGAAGACTTAAGCTGAGAAACCTATTGGAAGCTCACTCCTGCAAAAACTTTCCTTTCTCGCATGCTTGCTGTCTGGAGTCAAACATTAACTCCTGCACTCAAACCTGTAACTAGCAGTAATTCAACATCATAATCCACAGGAAAGAAGAAAAGAGAGAAAGGCCACAGTACTAATTTCTAATAGCTTAAGTATCTTTGTGTTATATCATAGTCATACTATTCATTTATGCTCAGTTATCAACCAGGGGCCAGGAGATAAAACTTTGCAAACTCCTGGATGCAACTTAATGATAGATATTGTTTCAAACTGCAATCAGGTTTTTCACTAACCTGGATAGCCCCTGCTACAGGGCCTTTATCTTTAGTTAAACTTAGTAATACTCTTGGGCCAAAATCTAAATGCAAAGTCAAGCACACCTGAGAGAGAAAGGCATGCAGGTTATGAGGCAGAAAAATCCAGGTTTCTATCTTCATACTGGTAAGGGTCTAAAATCTCTTGCTAGGGCCAGCATGTAACAGTAGCTAAGCATATGCTTGCTCCCCAGTTGGGTTAAGGAAAAAAAAAAATTTAACTGACAACTGTCTTGTGTTTCCTACTTGTCCTCACAGACAAGTTAATGCATAGAGTAATCAAGGGCTGTCTATAAGCTACAGACTTGGTCTGTTTTGCCTGGTGTTTTATCTTCTGCAATGTAATCCTGTAGTCTGGAGAGCTCTTTGGATTGAAGCCATGGGCACTACAACTTTATACTAGCTCTTCTCCCTACAGCAGGTAAGGTTCAGATAGCTAGTGCATAGTGGTTGGCTATAACTTAAATGAGCAGAAAAGGAATAGAAGGAGGTACATCTTAAGTGCTATGTTTTTTTGTATTACAGTACTAAATAAAGAAAATATTTGCCTTTTTTGCCATTGCTTTGGTCTTGAGCAAAGTAAAGAAAAATCTGTGCCCGATTAAACATACACTTTTATTTTGCTTATGTGCAAGCTATAGCTTCCATGACTAAACTTGTGATCAGACGCTATTACAAGTGAATTCCTTAAGAAGCTAGACTTCATTTGTACAGCACCTCTGATGGATGAGAAGTTGAGTTTGTCTTATGACCTTCCTCTAAGCAAGGATGCAAGTTTTTTTTTCCCCTTATCAAACCCTCTGACTTTTTTTTTTTTTTTTTAAATCAGCTGTCACTAAAACTGGCTAATACATTCTTCTTCATCCTGCAACAGGAGAGGAACCAGCCATGCAAATACATGAAGGAACATAATGGCATGCCTTGTTGCTGATCTAGTACCAATGCAGGAGACCTTTATTTCACTCTCCTATTACAGAATTAGCCAAAAAAATCATGCACTTGCCTTTAGTTTTATGTTTAGTAGTTGAAGGTACATTATTTTTGCTTGTAAAGGCTGCAGTCTAAACTGAGGACTCTTAACCCTGTTTGAAGCAAACTTATCTTCAGAAGGTCTCGACAGGCCAGCAGCTATTTATTTTAGCTATCTATTGCTATCTCCATTCAGAAAAGACTGGCATACCTGCCACCAGTACTTAGCTGATCAGGAAACTAACCCCAAGATGTTCACATTCTAAGTCAAATCCTCAGCCTTCCAACCAATTTGCATGCACAATCTGTAAACTAAGTCTAGTGAAGCCTTAAGAACACAAAGAAAGAGCATATAAAACCTGTGAGAACTCCACAGCAGAGCTCATGTATAGAACACAGGCATTTTCAGCTTTTAAGATTGATACTTTGCTAAGCTGTTGCTTTGTTAGTTATGTGCAGTATCTACTATAGCCTACCTGCAGGGCAATGCTGGAGCGAAGGGCAACTTCCTTCTCTTTTTATGTGGTCATCTACAAATTCAGGTTGTCAACAAAGCTAGATTTGGCCTGCTATTACAGCTACTTTCTTTCAGAAAAATCTGGTTCTGAATGATGTGCTTCTAAAGTATTTGAGGGTAACATGGAACAGCAGAGTTTTAAGCCATTTTGCTTGAGCAGTGCTTCAAGCAGCACCAGTATCAAAAAAAAAAAAGATTCACTGTACCTACAAACAGTGCTTTTACACAGTCTGCTGTTTTCAACTAAAGGAACAAACAAAGAACAGCATAGAAGAAATTTATTAAGATAGCACTATTTATACAAGTTACTCATGCTAGAAAAAAGCATAAATGGTACATGTAAACATTTGTTTACAGAATACTTGTATTTCCTTGTAAAGGTGCAAATGATCTTCATATGTAAACACAAGAATAAACCTTTAGGGGAAGAGAGGGGCTTTTAAAAAAATTTGAATGACCCATTTATTACTGTAGTGTAATTTTTACTATATCCAAGCACATTAAAATGCCGAGTTACACGAATCAAACCATGACATTAAAGAACTTAAGATGGCAGCACTGCCTTCTTCATCTCAAGAATTTACAGTCCTCTTACTCTTTAAAAAAAAAAAATCAGATTTAGTAAGGTCTAAAGTTACATCAAGTGCAACAGGTCATTGTTTCATACTGGGTGGAAGTTTCAGTACAGGCAAACGTGTCGGAACCTTTGTGTCTAGAGTAGAGTTGCTCCTTCCTCCCCTCCAGCCCCAGGTGCCTCTGCAACTCACTGAAACATAACAGTTGCAGTGCCAGTGAACAGTCCCTCCCCTCCAAAGTCTCTTTAATGAGCCTCATACCTTTCCCTGTTCTAAAACAAACACAGGCAAAGTGCATAAAAGTCATTAAAAGGGTGGGCACCATCTCATCACAGTCAGTGTTTTACAATAGGAATTCTAAAGACGCTGACAAGAGGCAGGAGGGCAGCCTGTAAGCTTTGTTCGGCAGGAGCTGACTGTGGGTCTGCCATTAGAGCGAGAACCTGAGAAGTGAGCATTTATCTAGACTAGTCAGAATTAACAAATGGTACCTGCATACCAGCTTCACACAAGAACCGATATCCAGCAGGCAGCGTGAGAACAGGATTTTGCAAGTGAGCAATAACTAGTTGTTTCTAGGTTCATATACAGGTGAGGGGAGAGACAAAAGCTGAACTTTTGTACCATACACTGTACAGTAAAAAGGCATCATTTGAAATCCTTTTCACTCTCACCCTCTTTTTGGGCACTTCACTGATTCAGTCGATAGATGAGAGTTCCAGTTCTACGTCTTGCCTCCAGCAAGACTAAAAAGATACTCGGGGCACCCATCTTCACAGCTCTCCCGTACTCTTAAGAGATCCTAATACATACCACAAGGGTTGGAACCACAAGATCTTGCAGGACATAGCCCTGCCCTAACCATCGGCTTGTCAAAACTCAAATCGCACATACACATGCACATATACATATATAAATATATATGCACACATACATATGCATATGAAAAGCTGGAATTATCATCATTGTGAGCAATACAAAGAAAATACATGATACAAATTAAATGAAAAAATAAATATATTCTGTGCACAGAAAAGCTTCTGTGCAAAGGTGGCACCTTGCAGGTCAAGTACTTTTTTGAAGCTCTCTGTAAATAAGGCAAAAGCAATGTTTTCTGTATCACTTTCCTCTTTCACCCACTGCACGCCTGCCATGTCTACTGCTCACAGTAGGAGGGAAAATCAGGGAAGCCCTCCTCTTGCCAGACTCCCAGCATAGCTTGTAGTCCCTACATCAGCATTGTTTACACTATAACGACTTTTGCAGTTTGGTTTATTCAAAAATGTAGACTGTTTAGAAAAAATAAAGGACATAAGCAACACTTCTACTTTTGTCCAGTGGTTCCCTGGAATCTGACAACGTGGTCTTCCATTGGGCGCACACTCACAGAAGTCACTTTTATAATTTGATAGAAAGAGTCACTGGCAGAGTTACATTGGATCTAGACCGTTCGTACTAGAGCTGCAAAGAGGTCCAGTGTCAAGAAGTCTCTTCAGTTTTTCTAGGAACGAGAACCAAGGGGTCTCCCTCCCTCTTGAGGCTTACCATATATGGGATTCGCAGTGTGTCATTTTGATAACCCCTACGCCTCCTCCCAGCCGCCGATAGTTCATTCCACCGTACAACCTGCAAAGACAAGGCTCCAGTGGTCACGCTGGGTCCGCTCTTTCACGGAGCAAAAAAGAGTGAACCAGCCCCTGTAAGCACCACTACACCATTCTTAGCCTTTGGTTAAAGTGGATCACAATGCCTAAGCAGGGCAGCAGTCTTTGTACAAATTTCTAAGGTAAATACACTGTATTTGCTCATATCTTTCTCTAGAAAAACAGGAACGGCTTCTTGTTTTGATGCTCAGCAGTTCTCCGTTTCTTAAGTAATCGCTTACTTTCTCTCTGTCTGGTTGCATGCATGATAGAAAGGAGCCTTGTTGGCTGTAGCTTACCCCGGGCTACCTTTTGGGTTACACAGGAGCAAAGACAGGTTTGCTACTTCCAATTTAATTAACTTCTTTTACATTTCTAATACCCTACATTCAGCTGATCTCACCGAGATGTAACACATCCCAAGCACCATCTGTTTCTCCAAGATATGTTACTGAAACAGTGCTGGCATTTCATATGGAAATCTGATCTCTTTGGGCTCCGGTATCCTACTCATTTCAGCTGTATATTCCTCTCCATGCCTCTACAGTCTGCTGGCAGAAACAAGAGAGGCAAGTTCTTCAAGTAACTCCTACCAGTGCAATTTGTTAATCCCAAATTGCATAGCAAGCATTTCTCAGTTGGGCTACACAAATAAAAAAAACAAACCCTTCATGCAGCAAGTAGTCCAGCAAACAAAAGAAAGAGAAGACCTCAGACGTTGGTCAGCTGTATTGCATTCAGTGGGGAAAACAAACTAATACCTTGAACAGCTGCCTAAACTTCTGCAAACACTAACCCAGGCAATAACTCTAAACATCTTGTTATCATTATGGTTGCTCTAAGTAGCTGAAACCACTCAGCTAAGGAATCCAAAATACATATGACTCTCTACTCAGCTGGTTTTCTATGCATTTCAAAAAGGCATTGTCCACAATTCAGCAAACAAGAGCAGGTTCCTACACTGCTCATGACAGATTATCTCAGCAAGAAAGGGTTAATTTTCTAGTATTACTAAACTCAAAAGAATAAAGACGTTAATTTCCTTCTAGTCCCCACACCTGACAGTTTACTAAAATCAAGAATATAAATAAGAGCCTGAAACTTTGCACTGATCAGATTTGTGAATAAATATACAGGCAATTGCTTTCAAGTGCAAGTTGTGCCTGGAAAAGAAATAGGAAAAATAACCTTTCCGTTCAATACATATTTTCCAATCAGAAACTTCATATCATCTCAGTTCATAAATGAAATACAATTCTTCTAATGGCTGTTTTGCAGATAAAAATGTGAAAAACACCATAGGCTCAAATTGTTCTGTTTCAGCCCCTCCAGAAAGATTTGGAGATCAGAGCCTCAGCTTGAAAGCCAAAAATGAGTAGGCTGAATTCTACATCATGACTGTGAGCTCCTTCTGCTAAGGACAGTCTTATTTTTATTGGGAAGCAGGAGCAGACTCAATCCAAAATAAACAGAAGGGGCAGATCTGTTTCAGTGTGGCCCATTTTTCTAAGTTCAAAAGCAGCACTTAGAAACAAAGTAGATTTTTAGCATTGTCTTTTGCTTGTTACCCAGCAAACTTGCTGAGTCATTTACTTTCTCTGGGTCTCAGCAACCTTCCTATGCAGCATTTTCCTACCTGCAAAAGATGCAATGAGACTTTATTTACCAAGTGCTGGTTAAATCTGTTGAGATCCTCAGATGGAA